AAGAGACTCTTTGTCACATTTATGCATTGTGTATGCAAATTGTAAAGATAGCAGTTGCCTTTACTACTGCTATACAACTGTCTTCATTTTGAGTTTAACAACAGAATTTAAAGTGAGAACACCTAAACTATCAATCAAATAACCAATACATTACCGAGTTGGGAATGCAAGAAAGTTGAAGGTTACATTACACGCACTCTTGCTGTAGAATAGAATCCTTTGTGCATAGCAACACAGCTCTTTCTAAACAAACAACATATTTGACACACCAAAAAATAAACCACATGCCTAAAAAAGTCACCAAAGAAAAAACAAACAAAACCCTGCATTACTGCATGCCCATCACTTTTTAAGTCACTCAAAAACATCTTTCTAGCACAAATGTTACATCAATGAGTATTTACTGAAATGTATATTGTCCAATGAGTATGTAAAAATCTGACTAACTCAACACCACAATTTTTTTCTTCTTTACAAGAAATACATTCTGAAAAGAAGGAAACCTGAGAAAAGGTGGAAAAGTTAAACAATTTCAGTAAATAACAGTTTCCCACTTGAAAGCTGTATATGACAAGTCCTCCCTACTAACTGTGTAATATTAAACTGTCTCATGCACTTACCTTATTTGAGATTATATAATGACAAGAAGACTTCAATGATACCCTCAGGTTTCAGATAAACTCTCCATACACAACAGTTGCTGTACAGATGATGGCCTAATTTGTGGGAACTGAATGAATGGAGAATCAAATTAAAGATCGTGAACAATGATTCTTACCCAATGGGCTTTGGAGATTTGGTATAATGAAGATATGGAGAACCATGTGTACCATTTGGACTAGACAAGGTCCTCACAGGTTGACCCTTCCTAGGTACAGATACTAACTGTGATCTAATGCCATTTTTATGATTTGGCATGGACATGGTTCGGTCTACTCGATTAATCTGGAAGTGATAAGATGAGATAGCCATGTCCTTGAGGCTTGGCAAAGGCTTTAAAGTTTGAACAACTTCACTCATCAAGGGTCTAGATTTCGGATCACGGCTAAGGCATTGAGCAGCCAGCTGGGCAGCTTTCTGTGCTCCTTTAACCGAGAAGTGGCCTTCAAGGCGGGGATCAATTATCCGGTAGACTGTCCTCCGGTCCCTGAGTACAGGTCTCGCCCACTCCACAAGATTGTGTTCACCGTTTGGTCTTCTCTTATCAATAGATCGCCGGCCTGTGAGCATTTCAAGTAGCACTACTCCAAAGCTGTAGACATCACTTTTTGATGTCAAATGTCCTAATCAGAATTGCACATCTCAGGTTAATATTGAAACTGCCTATGCACAAAGGATATGAATCATAGGGTAACAATTTCTAGGTACCATTAGGCAAAACCTGTTGATCATACATTTTCAAAAGAACATTCAATAACTTAACAATATGAAACTTTTAAAAGTCCCCTGGACCCCTTCCCTTTTTTACCTGTTTGACGGTAGAGTAATTGAGGCATATCCAATTATCGCTATGCCACCATCATATTTTCGAAAATTGAAATAATTGTTGATATTGACCCTTTTCTTATCAGAGTTTGTTAAATAATGATGCTAACAACTTAATCATGGTCATTCATCATACTTGGCAAATGAGTTATAAAGTGAAGGATAAAGCAGATCACATGGTTGGACAATGTAATGTCATTGAAAGGTTAAAATAAAATAAAAAATTCTGCCCTAAATGGTCATGACTTGAAGAACTAAAATGTGGTTGACAGTTTGTTACTGACATGTTAGAGTATTTGCAAAGGGTTTTAATGGCAGATTTTTCACTTTATACTATTGTGGTTGTGATTTCTATTGATATAATAGCTATCCTTTATCTCTCATAAAAATATAATGTTTTTAGTTCGGAAAATTTATACAGCATCAGGGTTCGATCTTGGCTATCACTATGCCTATAGTCATAGATAGTACTTGGAACTTTGATCCTCATTTAACTGTTTACAATTTTAATTAAATTATTTATTGGAGAACAATGTGTGCACGTGGGTAAAGAGTTAAAAGTGGAAGAAAATGGGGGATAACTCAAAGGGAGCCTAACAAACTTGTTTGTTATGGATCACAAAAGCAGATATTCCATTTCAAACACTTTCTCTATCTGAATGCCATAAGATGTAGGTGGAAAACAAGAAATGCCTTGCCCTTTTATGTTTAAAAAGTGCATCGGCAACAGCAGCATTTATTTGGGCTATCTACTTCACCAAATCTGAATGGATATCTCAACCAAACTACAGATATACAGTACGGTAGAATTAAAGTAGTGATGAAAAGAATATTTGAGGAACTAGTTTGACAACAGATTAAAAATTTGAGGCCTTTTTAAAGACAAAAATAATCTTTATAGAACTAATATGGTGACCTAAATTTTTGGAGGACTAAGGTGATGACACAACTTTCAAGGATCAAAATGAGGGTTTTCTCACTAAAGGAATCACGACAGCCCAAGAACTTACAAAATGCAAGAGCTTAGTTTAAAATTATACACGTGCAAATTCTAGATAGCATTATCTATCTTGAGTCTCAGTTATATAGTGTAAGTATCAAGTTTAAGTAACATTAGTACTTGAAAAGGAACAAGGAAGGCTCAAAACTCACCAGTCATCACATACTCAGGAGCAGCATAACCATATGTTCCCATAACTCTTGTTGATACATGGGTCTTCTCCCCCTCGGGACCATCTTTGGCAAGTCCAAAATCAGAAAGCTTGGCATTGTATTCCTATAAACATATTTGCTTTTAGTTTTTGGGTTGGAGGATGAATAAGAAATAATTAATACCTTCTTGACTAGTTCACTTACATACCGCATCTAATAGTATATTAGATGTTTTGAAATCACGATATATTATGGGCCTCTGAGCTTCTTCGTGGAGAAAAGCAAGACCTTTCGCAGCACCAAGCGCAATTTTCATTCTGATAGACCAAGGAAGAGGCAGGGGCCCTTCAACATAAATAATGGTTGTTATCAGAAAAAAGAATTAAGTCTGACAATGAAACTTTTTTAAGAGCATAGTGCCAAGCAAAATGAACAAATGCACTATTGGAAGATAACCATTTTATTCTAGTTTTTGTTTTCTATAAGCATGAAAGACTCAACCTGTGAATCGAATAATACTTGTGGACTCCAACAATTAGTTGGAAATCAATAGCTGGATTAAAATTATTGGTAGTGTATAGAATAAGGTTTATGAATAGGGACAGCAGTTTCATGAATTCAATGGATAATTTAAGATCTAAATTTAATTTTGCTGGTTAGTTTCCTAGAGCTATAGTCACTTATTTGCTAGATTAGATGAATACCTGTTATTAAAAAGACTTTCAAGAAATGTTAAGATACTTAGCCCAAGCACATTGAGAGTAATCTTTTTTGGTTAATTTTAGGCTTATATTGGGAAAAGCAATAGCAACAGCAAGAATCACACTCATTTTGAGCCAAATTTTAACTCAAGACTGATAATTATTATATTGACATACGTCACAACAACTGTCAAGACAATGAAAACATCCAAATTTTCTGCAGTTATAAGGTGTTACATAGAAATAAACAAGCAGTAGCGAAGACATGCAATAGAAATAGAAAAGGTTTACCAAAGAAATACAAAGGTTAGTAGTGTACTTCTAAAGAGGTGGTTCTCCAAACTGCCTCGGGGCATAAACTCATAAACCAATAATCTTTGGTCATCTTCAATGCAGAAACCAATCAATTTAACAAGATTAGGATGGACAAGATCACCAAGATAATTTAATTCAGCCTGAGAAGAAGTAAAGCAAATTTAGAATGTTAACACAGTAAGAATTATGGCATTAAAATTAAGGAGAAGGAGAGGAGATATAAGTTTCATACAAGCCACTCTTTGTGACCCTGATGTCCATTGTGGTTGAGGGTCTTGACTGCCACTGTGAGCCCTGTACCCGGTTTCACAGGTGCAGTTCCATTCTCCTCAATCCAACCCTTGAAGACACAACCAAATCCTCCCTCACCAAGAAGACTCTCTGGTCTGAAATTCCTAGTTGCCACCTTAAGCCCATTGAATGTAAATTTTCTCAAACAAGAAGCAACCTTCAACTCCTCACTAAATTTTGGAGTGGAAGGGCTACTTTCTGCATCACTAGTTCTCGTAGAGGACTCTTGAGGAGCAACTGTTTCCTTTGTTATTTTATCAGATGCAGATTTGTTTTCCTCTGATCTAATTGTCGCTGACTTGACATTTTCACCTAAAAATACAAATAAATGGACATTATTAATTGATTTGATGATGGCATTCTTGACTTTATACAACTTCATGGCAATTCGTTATAGTTGTATAATAACGAAATAGTAAATACAATCAAGCAGTCTTGTGCAAATGGTCAATGCATCACAAACTTGTTCATGCCAATTCAGAGCAACTTCTATAATTTCCTATATGATTGAACAACGATTCTCAGTTTCAATACTAAATTTTCATCACAATTCATTGTATCGTGCGTATAGTGAAGTTATTAAGTACCTAATATAATTGCCAGAACAATTAATTAGACATCGTTTACAAATACTTTTCTGAGCTCTTTACCTAAGATCAAGGGCAGACAGTGCTTAGAAAACAATATGCCGTGGTCCAATGGTAATGCAGAAAAGAACGTGGGTTTTTTTTTTTTTTTTAAAAAAAAAAAACCTTTAATAAATTGCAAATGAATTAGTTAGATCTCCGACTTCCTCAACACAAAAATGCACAATAATAATTCACATCACTTTTGCTCCAAGAAACTCAGAATTCATGTAGTTTCTTAAAACAAATTTGCAGCCTCAAACACAAAGTATATTTGGAGACAAGCTATAAGTGTTTTCTGAGAGGTTATTTACGGGGGAATTTTTTTTTTTTTTGGGTAGAAATACTCTTACAGGTTTGTTTCCAAAGAGACTCAAAATAAGTCTGGATAGATCATATAACGAAAGAAGTAAAGACAAACAACCATATTTGGCCACCCAAAATGATGTCAAATGACAAATAGATCATGAAACAAATTAAGGAACATTGATGTGGAAAGAAAATTACCATTATGGGCACTAGTGCCACTTATGGTGCTATCAACTTTTGATCTTGTAGGTATGCAGCTTCCAAAGAGGCTAAATCTAAACCACCATTTTCTCTCCCTTCCACCACCTTCCTTCTTCTTTGACTTGTCCACATCCAAACTCCCTGCCTGAACTGCATTACTCCCAAACCCCATCTTCCAAAATCTCTCACAAACAAGCTTCCATACTCTGAAGTCTCAAACTTTAGATACAAAGCCACTTAAAGTTCAAGTTTTGAAGCCACCCCAGTTGCAATAATTGAAGAATTTGGAGCTAGACACAAAGAAAAACATCATGGTATGCGTACAGAATGTTATGGAGTATAAAGAATGACATGTATAGTGGTGAATGCGTGAGAGCAATGAGAATTAGAGAAGAGAAAGAAAGGGAATTGTGAAGATAGACGAGAGAGGAAAGTGGGGTGAAGGGGAAAGCGGGAGAGTGCTTGTGAGAGAGGGAAGGTTTTTCCACAGCGGGCAGGAGGGGCAGGGTTGGAAATGCGAAAAGTGGGGAGTGGGGCAGGGCGGGCAGGAGAGAGAAAGTGATAGGCATTTGTTTTTGTTTTTGAAAACAGGAACAGGGCTGCCACTTGGTAAATTGCAACCTACGACATATGATATGACTTTCTTTCACTTTGCCTGCCCTCTAAAATATTCCACAGATAATGTTGTTATTTCGTTGTGGAAAATCATTATATACCAAGAGTGAATGTTAGGCTACCTTTGGAAGATCATTGTCAGCATGACGCAACTTAGATCTTCCCATTGAAAATACTTTACATGAGCCTAATTTGGTTAAGTTTAATTTTGTCTCAATTCAATTCCAAGTTTAATTTATATTTTGTATGAATTTTATTTTTAAATTCATCCGTTTCTATTCGGTTCATTAATTCAAATTATATGGATCCAAGACTCAAAATTTTTAAATTTTTTAAAATTCTAATTTATTAATAAATTTTAGATAAAATAAATTTTTTTATTTTTAAATAATTTATTTTAGGCTAAAAACCTATTTTGGTCCCTTATAATTGTTTGTTTCAATTTAGTCTCACTTTTATTTTTGGTTTTAATTTGGTCACTCATAAGTTAATTGGTTTCAATTTGGGACTTCCGTCCAAATTATTTAAACGGAGTTAACTGTTGACCATGTAGATGTCACGTAGATGCATACGTGGATATCACGTGGACGCCAAATTTTGTGAAAACACCTGGAACCAGAACGACCCGTTCTGGATGCACTCTTGGTGTGTTAATTTTGTATCTGAAACGGGCCGTTCTAGATGCAAAATGAACACACCACCAGTACACCAGAACGGTCCGTTCTGAAACTAGAACGGGCCGTTCTGGTTGTAGAACGGGCTGTTCTGGATTCAGAACGGCCCGTTCCAAGACTGAGAATAGAATATTCTTTATTAATTTTATTAAAAAATATAATAATTTTGAAAAATATTTTTTTATGGTAAAAATTTTAAAATTATTTATTTTTATAAAATACAATTGTCTTATAAATAGAGTAATAACTTTTTCTTTTTCTCTTTCTCTCTGAAGAAATATTTAAGTGTCACTTTATAATTTTTTGCAACTTATTTAAAATTAGAGGAATAAAATGATAAAAATTAATAGGATAAACATAATAAAATTATTAATTTATTTTCTTTTAGTGTCCTCTAAATTTTTACATTCATTTAAAACAAAAATATTTTATATGTTAATTTGAATTAATTTAACGAAGTATCATATGATTTTTAATTTTTTAAAATTTTTTATAAATTTGATCTATACATGAAAAACTTTTTAATTTAACAATTAAATTCTTAAAAATTTGATATAGAACATTAATTATTAAATAGAATAAATCTATCAAGACTTACTCTTGAAGTAAGTAAATTTTTTCTTCATTAAAAATGAAGATAATTTTACCACAAAATAAAAAACAATTAAACAATAAAATAAAATATAAAAAAATATTAATGTATTTATTATATTAGATATAACAACATAATTAAAATATAATTAATAATATATATTTTATAAAATTATTAATATTTTATATATAAAAAAAAGAATGAAAAAATTTTTAGTGGGGGCAAGTGCCCCCACTATGATTAACTTAGATCTGTCCCTGCATATGGTTGTGTGGTGAAATGTTAGTCATGTGTATCCTCTTCCTTTACTTCAGGTTCTACCTCTTCAAGAACAGGTTGTTGTTGTTGGGGTACATCGTTAATGACTTCAAGAAAAAATACTATGTCATTTCATCCTTTACTGTATAGTGTCAATTTGGTAGTAAGTGGTTCACTCCAGTTTCAAATGAAATAAAATCTGCTACCATTGTCTTTAGTGATACATTGCATTGTCCTTAATAATACACTGTATAGCCTAACTGTTTAGCAATAGAAGTTATCAATTTTCATTGACAATATTACCAAATTTAGTATTTGAAATGCTTTGTACCTTGGGTCTTTTTCCTTCCATGATTCACAACCGTGAACTATAATCATTGATCGGTTATACTTAGCAGTCTGGAACCAGAAAGGCCCGTTCTGAAACCAGAACGACCCATTCTGAAATCAAAACGGCCCGTTCTAGTTGCACTTTTAGTGTGTAAATTTTGCACCTGGAACGGGCCGTTCTAGATGCAAAATTAACACACCAAAAGTGTAACCAGAAGGGGTCGTTCTGGTTCCAGGTGTTTTCAAAAAAATTGGCACCCACGTGGCATCCACCTATGCATCTACGTGGCATCCACGTGGCCACACAGTTAACTCCGTTTAAATAATTTGGACGGAAGTCCCAAATTGAAACCAATTAATTTATTAGGGCCCAAATTGAGACCAATTATTTTATTAGGGACCAAATTGAGACCAAAAATAAAAGTGGGACTAAATTGAAACAAACAATTATTATAAGGGACCAAAATAGGTTTTTAGCCTTTGTTTTATTAGTTTTACAAAATTATATAGTATGACTCCAAGAAAACATAATTATAATTAAAGTCTACACAAATAAAAAAATACTCTCATTTACATAAAATAATAGAATATCTAATTCATAAACATAAAACTCTAATGTGAACACATTATTATTATTATTATTATTATTATTATTATAACTAAGTTTTGAAGTTTAAATCTTTCAAATTTTAACAAGTTAAAATTAAATAGAAAGTAAATTATATATTTATATGTCAAGTTTATCATGAATGAAATGAATTTAATTATATGTAACTCAAATTCGATTCATTTATTTATCGAGTTTAAGTTTGTAAGACCCACGGCCTCTCCCTCTCTTTTTCTCATTTTCTTCACTCTCTTTTCCTTACTCACTCACTCTCTTAAGCCTCTCATCTTGATTTTTTTGTTCTCCTTTCCATCCCCAAGTTGAAGCTGTGATCTAGGGTGGTGCACTTCTTGTGGAGCTTGTTGCGGAGCGGAGCTTTCTTCTTCTCCATTCCTTCTTCTCCTTTCTTCTTCCCAGAGCTCAAAATCTTCACACCGAGGTAAGGGAAGCTAAGATTTCATGCTGGCTGTATGAAAATGAGTTTAGTAACTCATGAATGGTTTGATGATTTGATGATTTTGGCTGAGAATGATGGAATTGGGTTTTTGGGGTTTTCGGGGTTTTGATGAAATTTGGGGATTTGATGATTTGTGATTGCATGTTGAAAATGAGCTGGTTTTTGTGTTGTTGGGTGAAAATGTGGAGTTTTTGGCCGAATGCATGTGTTTGGATGACTTGATTATGCAGGTTTGGAAGAAAATTCTTGAACTTGGAGAATTGTTTGGTATCACGCCGGGCGCAGTTCTTGGTGTCGGGCGCGTGACTATCAGAGGGCTCCATTGGTCGAGCCCACCGGGCGCAAGTGGTGTTCGTCGGGCGAGCTAGAGGATGGATGCCCCTGAATGGTTCACGCCGGGCGTGGGGAGAACCACTTGGGAAGCTGGGAGGAAGTCCTACCACTGGTGGAGTTCACGTACAATAATAACTTCATGCTAGTATTGGGATGGCGCCGTTTGAAGCACTGTATGGTAGGAGGTGTAGGACTCCTCTATGTTGGTATCAAGATGGTGAGTCAGTGGTTGTGGGGCCAAAGTTGATCCTACAGACTACTGAGAAGTCGCCTGTAGTTGTGGTTGATTACAAGTTGAAGGAGTTGAGAGACAAGTCTATCGGCTTGGTGAAAGTGTTGTGGGATGCAGCTACAGGTGAGGCTACTTGGAAAGTTGAGCAACAGTGCAGAGAGCAGTATCTTTCCTTATTCCCAAGTAAGTCTATTTTTGGGGACGAAAATTCTTGTTATTGGGGAGGTTGTGAGACCCGCTCCCTCCTTCTTCCTCCTTCCTCTCAACCCTTATCATTTCCCTTTCTCCATTCACTCTCTTATTCTCTCATTCTCTTCCCTTTCTCTTAGGTTGAGGCAGTGAGCTAAGGTGGTCCTTTTCTTGTGGAGCTAGCGAAGAGCGGAGCTTTCTCTTACTCCTTCTTCCTTTTCCTCTTCCTGGAAGCTCGGAATCTTCTCCTCCGAGGTAAATGAAGTTAGATTTCTTGCAGATTGTTTGGAATGAGTTTAGAAACTCAAATTTTGTTTGATTTCTGGAGATTGATGACCGAATTGATGAGTTGTGCATTTTCGGGGTTTCGGGAAAATTGAGAAAAATGGGGATTTTTACACGTTTGATGGTTGCATGTTGAAAAAAATATGGTTTTTAAGTTGTATGCTATAAATGTATTTCATTTGATGGATTGCATGTGTTTGAGTTGGCTGATTTTGCAGGTTTTGGGTGAAATTTTCGAAGTGGTGAGAGTTACTGTTTGAAATTGCGCCGGGCGTAGTTCTTCGGCCCGGGCGTGATTTGAAATGGGGAATCCCTGGGTGAATCACGTCGGGTGTGGGGAGAACCACGCCGGGCACACTATCAGACGTGAATCTTATGTTTGGGTTATTAATATTGTGCCGGGCGCAGGATAATTGTGCCGGGCGCGGAGACCTCTGTAGGTCTCGGGTTGAGTTTGCGTCCGGCGTTATTTTAATGTGCCGGGAGTGAGTATGTTGGTCTTTGAGTCTTCATAAAATTTGTAGCCATGGATGTTAGCTTTCCAATGGCGCTGGAATCACCCAAAAATGAGGTCTAGAACTCTAGATATGGATGTTTTAGTGAAGAGGGGTTAAGCTGCCAGCATTGGTTATAGCTGTTGCCGTTTTTAGAATTTTTAACAAGGTAGATGAAGGAATTAGGACTTGGTGTCTTCATGAGAGTTGTAGGAAATCTTCTTATCTTTCATATGAAATAAGGATGAGCAAAGTAGGAGTAGTATAACTTCTGATAAACTGTTTTATGTGAAGGTTGCCATTTCATAATTAGTGATTTGGTTAAGTTAAAAGTTGTTTTAGGTGCTTAGGTTGATTGGTGTTGTTTGGGTAGGTAATTTGGCATGATAGCTGAGTTGTAAACAAGATGGGTGAGTCGTATTATGTGTTGAATATGTTGTATGTTGTGAAGTTGTTGATCATGCTGTTAATAATGTTAAGCTGAGCTGTGTTGTATGTTGTTTGAGCTGTTATTGTTGTTAAGCTGGGCTGTGCTGTATGTTGTTTGAGCTGTTATTGCTGTTAAGCTGAGCTGTGCCGAATGTTGTTTATGTTGAT